ATGGAATGTGATAAGAGTTATAAGAGGCCCCAATAAAATTATTTTAAAAACAGAACAAAACAAAAAGAAAAGCTGGCTCATATGAAGAAGAATGTGGCATAGGGATTGGAAAATGGCTTATTAACAACCTGTGGTAAACAGACGACACAACCTTGTTTGCTGAAAGTGAGAAGGAATTGAAGCACTGATGAAAAGTAAGGATGGTACCCTTCAGTACATGCTACATCTCAATGGAAGGAAGACCAACATCCTCAGAACTGGACCAATAGGTAACATTGGGAAGGATTTTTGTCTTTCTTAGATCCATAATCAGTGCTCATGGAAGTAGTCAAGAGATCAAAATGTGTTGTATTAGGTAAATCTGTTACACAAGACCTCGTAGGGTATTGAAAAGCAAGGATGTTTTGGAACTAAGGTGCACCTGACCCATGCCATAGTAGTCTCTATTGTAACATATGCATATGAAAGTTGGACATGGAATAAAGAAGACTGTAGAAGAATTGATACATTTGAATTGTGGTGCTGGAGAAGAATATTGAAAATACCATGGTTTGCTAAAAGGAGAAATCGATCTGTATCGGAGGAAGTAGGACCACAGTACTTTTTAGAGGCAAGGATGGTAAGACTTTGTCTTAACATACTTTGGACATGTTGTCAGGAGAGACCAGTCCCTGGAGAAGGATATTGTCTATGGTGAAGAGGACGCGGGGGGGGAAAAAAAGAGAAAGGCCCTGAATTAGATGGATTGACACAATGGCTGCATCATGGACTCAGGCAAAGGAATAATTGTGAGGATGGTGCAGGATCATGCAAAGTTTCATTTGTTGTGCATAAGATCACTATGGATTGGAGCCAACTTGATGGCATCTAACAATAACAACTCAATTATCAAAGATTAATAAGAAAAATGTCTAATAAATTTTGTTATTTGATAGCACTTGTTAAAGATTTAATCTTTAATTGTACTTTTCAATTGTTTAATTTCTGATTTTAAAAACTATATGTGAGGAAGGAGGCAAGATGGCGGCCAAGTAACACACACCAGAGGGACTCTGCAGAAATCAACATAGGAGATCCACTGAGAGGGATACTCCACTCTTCCTGGTCAAAGGAATAGCATCATAAAGATACATAGATGCAG